AAGCCTCATGTTTCTCCCTCTGAGTGGCTGGCGGGTTCAAACAGCTGACCTTATGGTTAGGAGCCCAACACCTGACACCGGGAGCCTAGAAATCCCCTGGTGAGCTGTCCTCTGTCCCCAACAACACAACGGCAGACAGAAAGCAACCAGCTGGGGCATCAGGACCTGAAGGCATGGCAGCTGGAGCCCGACGCTGTGGGCACACTGCCCAAGGTGCACAGGGGGGGATCAGAGTCAATGCTGAAGCGTCACTTGGGGTGGGGCGGGGGTCCAATTCCAAGTGAATGGGCCGGGAGAAGGTCAGGGCTAGGCATGAAACAGGTTGTGCTAGTCAGGGCCCTCGCTGCAGACGGAGCCAAAGGCTTCAGCACTCAGGGTGGCCCAAGTCCACCACCAGCTGCCATGCAGAAACCCCCGGGGCAGGGAGGGTGAGGGGCCTCTGCGCTCAGCCTCTGCCTCTGTGCCTGAGCCCCCTGCAGGCCTGGATGACTCCGACTATTAATAGCAGGGCAGGAAGTGAGAGAGAATGCCCAGGAAGAGGGTGTGTGGCAGGAGGGCGGGGGCAGTTGGCTTGATGGCTCCTCACCTCCAGCACGGCAGTCTGCCACCAATAGCCTCCCCCGTCCTCCACCTGCTTCCATCCTTGGGGGACAGCAGCATCCAGGTGAACCCCTCTGTCCACGGCCGTCAGCCCCAGTGACCCGCCTCAGCAGTCAGTCTGTGCTTCCCTGGCCCGCTTCTCCCTGCCCATTCCTGGGCCCCTTCAGGGCCCCTCTGTCCAGGCTGGACCTCCTGTCCTTGAAGACTCCACGTCTGCTCACATTGGCTAGCGCTGCCCTCCACAACCTCCAGAGCTTTACGCCAGCTCCTCCCACCCCCATCCCCTGGAAAGGCTTCAGCCCCTGGCCCTGGGGCAAGGGTATCTCGGGCTACCTTCGGGAAAGGTCAGAGTGTGCTTGAGACCCCAGCCTGGGGTCAGGGAGCCTAATCCCTCACCGCGACCAGCCAGCTCCCCAGGCCTGCATGGAGACCCCTCTGTGCCTGGGTCCCCATCTGGAAAATGGGGACAGTGCCTTGTGGGGTGGCTCCCTCCAGAGACAAGCCTGGCTGACACCTGGCACAGATGACTGGGTGCCGTGTGCTTCCTCAGGAGAACAGCACCCACAGGAAAGGCTGTCCAACTGTCCAGCCCGGCCTGGCCCCCACGCAGACACAGTGGCTGAAAGAGGCAGCCCAGGGCTGGCACTCGGGCTTCTCGGGGTCTCAGGCCGGCCCGGGACAGCAGGACTGCATTCTGGGGGTTACTGCCCAGCCCCTCAGCAGCCCCTCTCCCAGGAGGGCCGGCACTGCCCCTCAGGAGATCATTCCGGGCATTCTTCAAATCTGGGATTGTTCTGGGCTTATCAGCTTGTTGCAGCTGACCCGCTGGCCAGGCTCGGAGGGTGGGGCCCAACTGAGCTGGTTCTCTGGTCTGGGCAGGGACCACCCTGCAGGAGGAAGATCTGCGGACCGTGGGTCGGAGCATCCCCCCACAAACACCCTCCATGGAATATGCTCTGACCAACCCCACTGAAGGAGACAGCCAGCCTGTCTTCAGAGCCCCCCTGGGATGGACTCTAATGTCCATCCACCAACTCCCAGGACATCCTGGGGCCCTGCGCCCTCTGCTCCTCCCCTACTACAGAGTGCATGGTGAGGGCCGGGAGCTGGTACTCAGGAGCCGGTCACCTTCGTTCCAACCAGCTCCACATGCACTTGAGCTGGGTGACCAGGTGGGCGTCCTCATCCTCACCTGTCAATGGTGGGGAGGAGGGCATCAGGGTGACACAGAATGGGGG